TCTTTTAAGTTGGCATTCCAGTGAGTCACCTAATGGAAGAGGTTTACAACTTACATTTTTTACTTAGAATGTGCACGATTCTAAAAGTCTTAAAGAACAATAGTTACTCAGATCTTAACTTCTGTAATTAAAATCATTAAATAGTAAAGATTCTTCGCCACTTGATTACTAGACCCTCTCCGGTAAGGTATCTTACTAGCAAATATTAGCCTACCATAAATCTCTTCTATTTTATTTTTAAAGCATCATCATTGCGTTTATTATTCTGATTGCCCCTTTGCTGCTTTGACCCCGAGGCATCAGTCAGCATTTGGGGTCAGGTCGGTGTTTCTTCTTGACCTTCCTCATTTGCACACAGATCTGTACTCAGATGATAAGAAATAGCAGTTGGTTTTCTGAGGTTATTAATCCCCTTTTCCATGGCAGTTCAGGGACATAGGGCATAATTTGTGAGTTGAAAAGGCACAAATATTTTCTTAAAAGGGGGCCCTTTGAGTAAAACTTTGGTTATATCTGTAAGTCATTGATTCATCCACCAAATCTGAACAGAGTGCCTACAGTGTGAGCTCTTAGAGCAGCCGTGACACGGGGGCCGGGGCTGGGCTCCCCTCCCCGTGTGGGCACAGTGTGAGCTCTTAGAGCAGCCGTGACACGGGGGCCGGGGCTCCCCTCCCCGTGTGGGCACAGTGTGAGGTCTTAGAGCAGCTGTGACACGGGGGCCGGGGCTCTCCTCCTCGTGTGGGTACAGTGTGAGGTCTTAGAGCAGCCGTGACGCGGGGGCCGGGGCTCCCCTCCTCGTGTGGGTACAGTGTGAAGTCTTAGAGCAGCCGTGACACGGGGACCGGGGCTCCCCTCCCCATGTTGGTACAGTGTGAGCTCTTAGAGCAGCCATGACACGGGGGCTGGGGCTCCCCTCCCCATGTGGGTACAGTGTGAGCTCTTAGAGCAGCCGTGACACGGGGGCCGGGGCTCCCCTCCCCGTGTGGGTACATTGTGAGGTCTTAGAGCAGCCGTGACACGGGGGCCGGGGCTCCCCTCCCCGTGTAGGCACAGTGTGAGCTCTTAGAGCAGCCGTGACACAGGGGCCGGGGCTCCCCTCCCCGTGTGGGCACAGTGAGCTCAGCTCGTCTGACTACGGAGGCTGTGTTCTCCCCACCAGTTGGGAGCTTGTGTCCATCCTAGCAAGAAGGACTGTACACAATTTCTTGTCTCCTTATGCTTTTGAATTTCCCTGTCACCCTCCCCCTATTGATGTCAACATATCCAAAGTATTAAACATTTCTTAAAAGAAACACTGTGTCCATTTTAATCCCCTAAACCTTGTTACTACCCTTGTCACATGAACTCCAGTGTCCAGTAGATACTTCAGACCTCTTTCATTTGGATTTGGTAAGACTTACTGTGATTAATACAGGATCGTTATTTTTTCCCTCAAGTCCCAGAAAAGAAGAAAGGGCGCATTCCTGCAGATGAGACTGTCCTCGGTGGGAGCTGCCAGGGTGATGTGGGAGTTCTCCTTCTCTTTGCCAACAAGGTGCTGAGTCATGACGCTCAGCTGTGCTGACCACGTCCACAGAGGACCTGTTAGGATAAAGACGCAGTAAACAGACATAGTAAATAAATGCACAGATGCACCTGCAGACAGCACGTGCGTGTGCTAGAGAGCGTCCATTCCAGGAGCGCTCACTGAAAACGCAGTACCCATGGCCAGTAGAACATTCTAGTACAGAACGTTCTGGCTTTGCAGGAAGTGAATGACTTGTGCTGACTGCAGAGAGGTCGGTGGGCAGCTGACGAGTCTTAGTTTGAACGTGCTCACCAGGGCTGCGGGGAGGACGCCTCCATTTCTTTGTCTCAGTAACTCGGTGAGGCAGACGCCATGTCATCTCATTTTGCTGATGAAGAGGCCAGGGCATGGAGTGGTGACGTGCATGACCTGCTGGGGACTCGACAGGCCCCAAGGGAAGAGCTGGGCGGAGGCATCCGTGTGCCATGTCTGTGGCCTGCCTGGCCCATGTGCGTGGCGGATCCTGCCTGGAGATTCTCCGGCCGTCTTCACTCATTCTTATCCACGTTCATTTCTTTCATAACATGGGTCCATACGACAACCGCGTTGTCACCAATTCACAGTAGGGTAGCCGAGAGACTCGCATTTCCCTCTGCTAATTTCATCAGCAAGGTGATGGGGCCCCGAGTACACTGGTCTGATCTTTACAAATAATAGAAACTATATATATCATATTATGCATGAATGAAAAATTATAAAATAACATTCAAAAAACCTGAGCCAAGTCAGAATTGGCCAAGTCTGGAAAGTTCTCACCCCACGAAGCTAGTGGTTTCCGAGCCTGGACCACTGTCTCAGGGCCTAATGTGTGTTACCCCAGTTACGCTTAACCCCAGTCGGACAGACACCGTCTTTTGTGTATTTTTGTGTGTCCCACCTCACCTGGGGCCTGCGACGTACTGGCTGCCGCTTGTGCTTGTTAGGTGAATAAGTTAATAGGTCTTGGTTTAAAGTCCTTTCAGAATCCTGCTTCATCTGTCACCAACATGTTTTTGTGATTTGATCAATAACAAGGAAGACCTAGGCCCTTGTCCAGGGTGACTCTGCATTCTGTGTTTCTGATGCCACTTGACGTATAGCAGTGGCCTCCAACATTTTTGGCACCGGGGACCATTTTCATGGAAAACAGGTTTTCTTATAGATGGGAGTGGGTGGGGAAGGATGTCTTCAGGGTGCTTTGAGACCTTCTATCCCCACCTCACAACCTCAGGTGTCGGTTCTCAGCAGGAGCCGTGGCCTGTACCACTCACATGGTTTGTGGCAGGGAGATCCAATGCCACCGACCCGGCAGAGGCAGAGCCCAGCGGTGATGCCAGTGACGGGGGAGTGCTTCCCTCCTGCGGTGCGTCCACAGGCCTGTGCTGGTGCCCGTCACGGGTTGGGGACCACAGAGCTTGGCTCCTTCCCTCCTGGTGGCCACATAACTGACTCATGTGAAGCCTCATTCCCTGTTGCCCCCGCCCGGCTCTCGCATGGACAGAACTTGTGGACGGGAGGACCACTTTCCTGCTGCTTCAGTGTGCTCATGGTGCCTTCACCTCCTCCTCCATCCACTGTCAGACATGGCAACTCGGCCCCTTTGACACCGGTCTGACCCCAAGCCCTTTAACCAGCAGGCTGTTTAGGAAGCCGAGGGTAAACAAGCCCTGAGACCCAGGGAGCTTCCTGGCTTCATGATGCGTTTCTGCCTCATACGGGCCAGACAGTGCAAAGCTTACAGGAGACTCAGCCAGAAAACTGGCAAGTCGATTAATCTATAGTTAACCACAGCAATAAATGAGCACAAGGAGATGCAGATGTGAGTAGGGGATAAAGGCTGAGTGGCTCCATCAGGAGTGATTCATGAGGTTGGACCACAATAATGTTTTCCTCTGCTCACTCGCCCAGTTCCCATTGCGATCCTGGAGCAGCGTTTGGGGAAGACTGTCAGGCGTGGGGTGGGTTCTGCGGTCACGGTTGGGGAAGATTGGTCCTGTGCTGTTAGTCTGGCTAACAAATATTTTCATAAACATGTACTGTGGAAAGTGGCGGTGTGCACAGTGGGAGTAAGAGAGTGGCATAACTATTAACCAGGTTTGAGCCCCAGAATCGGGGCTGGCAGAGCAGAAGGGGAGGAGCCAGGGACCTGGCCTGGGCTCCAGCCCAAGTCTGCTGCCCTTTGCCGTGTGGCCACAGCGAGTCGCCTCACGGCCGCGGGCCTCCCTGTCTTCACCCATGATATTAGCGATCTTTTCTCAGGAGTGCTGTGTGACAGCGTGCCTTTAATGAGCCCATTTGGAGCCCGGCCCCATGGAGGCTGCTCTCCCAAAAGGCACCCCCTTTCTGTGTGTCTTGTCCCCCACTGCAGCCTCTTTGCCACCTCTCAGCTGCCTTTAGTCCCCTTCCCTGCCTACTGAGTCAGTGACAGTCTGTACGGGGCTGCGCTTCCTCCCTCCTCAGGGTGACTCTGGGCGGAGAGCTCAGCCTCTCCAGGACATGCACGCTGATGGTCTTGGCTGGAGGACAGAGGCTGCTGGCAGAAACCTAAGAGGGAACATGCCGTGGTAGCAGCATGAAAGAATTTGGCAGGGAGGCGCTCGTCACATGACTGTGATTCATACAGCGTGCTCACGACGTGGCGGGGGGGCTCGGAAAGGCTTTTAATGCCAGCACACAGAGCAGAGACACTCATTTTCAAACATCACATTCTTTTTATAGTACAAGCATGCCTCACAGGGAAAATATTGAACTTGGCCTGCCAGCCCCATGAGAGTCGGCCCAACTGTGATTTTGCTGACTGAGTCACTCCCTGAATCAGATGCTGGCTGTGTGGAGGAAGTCTTCTATTAGGCAGCGCTGCCATTGTGTTTCCAATTAATTAACACCGACTTGGCCGGTTTTGCATTTACTTCTAGCTGCTTCCTTTTTTTCTTTTCTTGCCTGAAACTTCAGACACTTTTCTTAGGGTCTCAGTTGAACTGTGTTTAAGTATCCTGGTGAAAGAGTTGTCTGCGTTTGAGTGAACAAAGCAAGGGAGCTCTTCAAAGCAGAGCTCATCATCTCTGAATGCATCTGCTCCGTGGGGACAGCGCCGCTGGGGAAGGGTCCCTGAAAGTCTGGCGTAACACCTGGTGATGCTCCAGCGTCCTCGGCCTGTGCGGCCTGTTGTTAAAACCGGAGCTGGCCAGCTGTGGGGAAAGTCCTTGGTTTTACTTCAACCAAATGGTGCTGCCTCCTGGGGCTGGAAGGGGCTAGAAGGGGCTGGCTTCAAGCACAGTTCTAAATGTGTAGCTCTTTCAAGCCGTGGAATCCTACAAAACGGCCTTGAGTCATGGGGCCCCTCTGGCTCAAAGGCGCTCTGCTTCCCGTGTGTCATAAATCTGTATCTGCATCAAAAGTGTAAAGACTGCAGTGTGTGGAAGTCCCTTTTCCTCTGCAAGTGTGTCTGTGACAGATTTATGCTGATGGCCACACTGCGCCTGGCCGCAGACGCCGATGGTCGTCATGCCCCACTGACTCAGCCCCGCTTCCTGCCCAAGGTGAGACAAGATTCTGCACAAGGAGGGTGAAATTACAGCTTGGCTTTCTAATGGCTGCTGGTGCAGGAAGACCTTCAAGGGCCATAGTGAGACCCAGTTTGTTCACAGCAGCACCCACCGTCCCTCTGCAGCGGTGTGGTCACAGCTGAAACCCGAGGCACTTGGTCTCATGACAAGATCTACTGTGACAGGGCAGTCCAGAGCTGTGTGTTGTAGAGTTGAGGCCAAACGGATACGCGTGAAAAGCGCAGATAATCTCTTCTGTTGTAGTTTTGGTCTCTTCAAAGTGATTCTTTTTTCTTCCTGAGGGTACAAGTTTAAAATGTGAAAAAATTCTAAAAAGCGCTGAATCCACATGTCTGTTGGTCTTTGCAAAATGGATGCAAAGCAACTTGGTTCTGAAACCAGCTCCTGTGTGGGGAGTTTTCGTCCTCAGTGACCACGGTGGGTTTCAGCAGCTAGGCCCGTGAGGACCTCTCCTGCCTCCCTTCCCCTGCAGGGCACAGAGCTGTCCTGTGGGTCACGGGGGGAACCTCTGCTGGTGAAGAGACATCAGAGCCTGAGCTCCGTCAGTCTCAAGAGGCAACTAATTGTTCTAGTTCTGAGGAGTGACGATTGAAGGAGGAAGGTGTTGGAATAGTTTGAATCTTCCAAGAGAACAGAAAGCGAGAGGGTCTCTGACTCTCACTCTCCCCGGACCACAGTCTCTGCAGCTCTCAGTTCCTCGTCACTGTGCGTTTCTCCCCAGAGCACCCAGAAGTGTCACTAGCTGGTGGAGAATGCTTTTTTTTTTTTTTTGCTTTTTTTGTAGTATAAAAAAAGATACAATGGAGTAACAAGTTATGCAGCTAACTCTTGGCCTTATGTTTTTGAGTTCACAATTGTTACTGATTTTCCTCCTCTCCCCTTGCTCCGTTCCTGTGCCTCTGGTGTTTGTGTTACGTCCACAGCACTTTATTCCTAACATGTTGAGGATTCTGTTTTAAATTGAAAATCAGATTGCCGTTTGAAAAACTTGGTTTTAAAACTCTACCATCTGCTGGATTTGTGAAAAAGGATCTGGCAAATGAGAATTGTGTGTGGGGGGGGGTATTTTATGGGCACTGCGCATTTCTTTGATGATCAATTCTCCAAGCTCATCCTTATCTTTTAAAAGATGTTTCCGGGATTTATGCATTTGGCAAGATTTCAGAGGACTCTGTCATGGTGCAGGGTGCCCTCCGTTTACAGGGAATCCTGAACCAGGGTCTTATAGAGCAGTTATTCTGTTCTGTGCTTAAACTGATTTCTGCTCTGGACATGACTTTCAAATGGATCTTTTTTTTTTTTTTTAACGTTGGCAAAACTAAGCATTTTATTCATAACAACTTTAATAATAAAGCTTTTTCAGTCCAGACACAGGAGGAAATTTGCAAAATTCATCAGGAAAGTATGCCAATTGTTTTTTAAGCCATGGTGCATGTTGAGAAAATATTGTATTCATTAGTGTTTGCAAAACTATACATTTAATGATGCAAAAGTAAAGTGGACCCTCCCTTTTGGTGCACAGATGCATGAACTTTATGGGAGTGCACCCGAAGGTAGAGGCTTATTGGAGTGACTCTTAGAAAGGGCAAGGTTGGCCGTAAACAGTGATGCAATAACCCCACAATTATGTTTGCTCAATTATTTGGAAGGGAAGTCTGGGAGACGTGTTTTATATGGTTACATGGGCAAATAAGAAGTGAGTGTGGAGAAGCATAGTCCAAAGGTTTGCATTTGTTGTGTATACCCCAAATTGCATCCTAATACTGCTTTATAATGTTAATCCACTGGTACCAGTAAACTGGCATTTAAAACAAATTGTAAAATGAACAACATTTGCAAAGCAATAAAGACACCACCTTTGCAACCACTTTACTACAGTTTTGAAAAATGTCAGTGAATAGCTCTCCAAAGATGCAAATAAATAATATTTTATTAGATTTCAGCCCAGGAGAAAGGGGAGGAAAACCTTCAACTAGAATTACATGATTATTACTCTGCTCCTCCCTCAACCCAGCAAACATTAAAATGGAACGTAAAATAAGTCTATAACAAGATTTATGAGGAAAGGTATTACACCTAGGGGCACATTGTGCAGAAAAGTCATTAAAATTGTTTAGGCCTTTGGAGCAGGGGAAAAAACCTTTTGAGAAAAATGAGAAAGTCAGATGTCCCAGACGCCTTGCTGATGACGATTGAGGCCTTGGGTTTAAAAAGCCATGTGCCTTTAGCGTGTGACGCTCTATTACTTCAGCTTCTTCCCCCCCAAACAAAGCCGAAAGATTGTGTTTTCTCTAGGAAGGCTGACTAAGGGAGCCATAGTGGGCCCAGCACTGCTGTCCCTGTGCTGGGGGACCTGGCCATTGTCTGTTGGGGACAACAGAGGCTGCCGTGTTTTCCGTGTGTTAGCTGGGGCTTCAGCACACACACACTGCCCTGTGTACAGTGGAGATGAAAGCAAAGCTTACCCGTGTCTCGGCCCTTACGTGTAACGTCCCCCTGCCTCCTGGGTGATCGGCCCAGCAGATTTGCTTTCTGGCTGGGCGTGTGCACGTTGCCGTGGTGGTGAGAGCTCAGTGCATCCTGGTGCTTTGCTGTGGTCTGCAGCGGTTTGTACACAGTCTGGTTGTCACAGGCCTCCTTGTTGCCTTGCCCAGTGCTTTTCTGTTTTGCTGCATCTCAGTTGGTTCCGTCAGTAAGGCGAGGCGAGTGTGTGCCTCCTCATCGGTGAAGTTTTAACTTTGGCTTACTGTTTGACTCGGCGGGACACAGGGAGCTGACTGGCCTGTGTTCCTGCCGGCATCTCCCAGTTCCACACGTACCCATGAAGTGGTGTTCCGGGCGGATGTCCTGCAGCTCATCCTCATCAGAGTAGTAGTTGGGAACTTATTTTTTTAAAAGAAATGTTTCAAGGAGGCCTTTGAAAACCATTTTCTTCAAATGTTGGTTGCTCGTGAGATCCCATTTTTGTTCCTTTATTTGCTCCAGAATACTGCCAGGCTGCCAACAAAGGACGGCCTGTGCTCCAGAATTCTCCGCATTCCTCTCTGGAGTGGGCATTTTCCTCAGCTACAAAGGCCTTTTGGCGAATTCCCTCTCATCCCTGGACTTACCCTGGGCCCTGATAGTTGTCTGTCATGGGCTGGGCTGGCATTAATGGGCCTTTTTCATGATAAACAGAACCGGGCACCTTAGCAGAGGACGCGGACGCTGTGGGGTGTGGGGCTTCCTCCCTCTTTCTGCCTGTGTTTTCCCTCCTTCTGCTCAGTCTCCTCCAATCGTTTGTGTGCAGCACGGCATTTCTAGAAGCAGACCCCTGACCTCGGGGGGCAGCTTCTCATCCGTCAGTGGCCAGTGGCGGGACTTGTTGGGCAGAAGTTGATGCCATAAATGCCCCGCAGCGACCACCCTGTGCTGCCTGTGGACAGGCGTTGGAAGGGCCCCTCACGGGGCCTCAGGGCCTTGCCACGAGCTGCACCCAATGACCTGAAGTATCTGGTGGTTGAGATGGACGGACACTGCCTGGTCCTTCTGCAGGGTGGGACAGGCAGCTCAGTCCCTATGTCCTGTTCACCTCTAAGAACCCAAAACTGGTCGGTTGAAAACTGACTCCTGCAATAGTGACCAAGTGAAAAATACCACTGGAATTGTTTTAGGTGACTTAAATGTTATTCTTTGACGAGAGAAACAAACATCAGAAGCTAGAGAACATGCAGTCATGTCATCTGCAGTTTTTTAAGTATCTGAGAAAATTTTTTAAATTTTCTTATTTCACATGGAAATCTGTGTCTTATAACTTCAGAGTAAGTAACCCTTTAGGTATCCTGGTAGAGGCATTCTACTTAGTTTTCTCCTGTGTTCTGTCCTAACACTGGGGCTTGGGCAAAGAGACAAAAAAGGAACGGCCAGGAGAGCTCAAAGTGAGCACGGGGCCAGACCATCCTGGAAAGGTCAGAGGGACACAAGGTCAGGGAGGCAGGCGAGGGGCAGCACTCGCCATTTCTACTGAAGAAATATGGACCATAAACTCCTGTGTCGGAGAAGAGCACACAACAGAGTGCCATCATGATTCCACAGCCCTTGATGTTATGTCTTTATGCAAATCTTGCTGCAGCCTCCTGGGTAAGTGTGGGCATCCCAGAAGGAGTCTCAGCCCCAGTAGCCAGCTTCTCGCCAGGGGTGGAGATGCTGTTCACAGCCCCTAGTCCCCAGCTCAGTACACTCCTGGGTATCCACTGCTACAAGCCAGGGAGAGGAAAAAAAAAGAAAAGTTTGGCAGCTTGTGTAGCAGAGTAGAAAGTCATTGTCCTCAGTCAAGCAGCACTGTGTCCCTTGTTTCCCTGGATTTTGTTTTTGGCTAATACTGTTTATTAAAATACCCACTGAAGCTCATTGTTAATTCCAAACCCAGCATTCAGACCTACATTCAGTGACTTCGCAGCTTGCGGAGTGGAACTGCCCAGCCTGCGGGAAGCCTGCAGTGGCCAGTGCCTCCTACAGAGCTGGGACCCGGATCTGAAATGGTTAGAGGCATCCTTGTTCCATTAAGAAAGCATCCTGTGTTTTCAGATATCTGTGTTCCTCAGTGTGCAGTTGTCCACACGTGGTGGACATTGGATTCATGTTACTCAGTATTTAGGTTTCTACACGTGGTGGGCGCCGGGTGTATCTGCTCTGGCTCATGGACATGGGTGTATCTGCTCTGGTTCATGGACACCGGGTGTATCTGCTCTGGTTCATGGACACCGGGTGTATCTGCTCTGGTTCATGGACACCGGGTGTATCTTGCTCTGGTTCATGGACACTGGGTGTATCTGCTCTGGTTCATGGACACCGGGTGTATCTTGCTCTGGTTCATGGACACCAGGTTCATCTGCTCTGGTTCTGCTCTCAGCAACTTCACACAGTGAGCACCTGCTGGGCCCAGCACTACCCTTTGGGCATTGTCCAGGCTCCTCCGTGGGATCGACACAGGT